GCCGCGCTCCTCGGGCGGGCGACAGGGGGCGCCGCGCTCCTCCGGCGGGCCGCTGGGACCAGCGATCCGCCAGCTGCAGGGGGCGCCGTGCTCCTCCGGCGGGCCGCCCGGACCAGCGATCAGCCAGCTGCTGGGGGCGCCGCGCCGGCTGACCAGAGAGTCGACCCCCGCCCACTCCTCCTGGGATGGGCCCCACGACTGGCCATTCGCTCCTGCCGTCGCCTGTGGGCGGGCCCCCCAACGCTTTAGGAGACATCCTAATGGTGACCCCTCACCATTTTGCAGGGTTTTCCCATAGCGTGGGTGATACCTGTGGGACAGGGATGGGACTGAAAGATTCTCGGCCATGCTGGTGGGAACATGATCAGTTTGTGACTCCAATTACCCAGCCGCAGTGTGGGTTCCTCATGTGCCATGCAAGAAAGGACACTGAAGTATAGTTCATTCCTCCACCTCCCAAATACAACAAAATGCACACTTCTTATCATTAAATTGTGCTTTAAGCTCTCACAGTTGTTTTGTAAGCCTACTATTAGATGCTCTGAATCTTTGAACTGTGAATTGATTAAAATGTAGAGAGCTTCTTATTCAAGAAATCAATACATGGATGTTACGTGAACTCGTGGTAATCGTTTTGCAATATATACATACATCAAATTATTATGTTGCACACCTAAAACTAATACATCATGTGTCAATTATATATCAATTGAAAAAAGGAAATCAATACAGTTGGTATATTTTAAAACAAACAAAAATGAGGTCAAGGACAGTGCAAATGATACAGTAATATTTGTGTAAAAAATTATGCGTGTGTGTGTGTGCGCGTCTGAACCATGAAAAGCTGTGCAAGAAACTTAAACAGCGATTGCCCCTGGAAGAGGGATGGTGAGTTGGAATGGGAGGGAGGTTTCACTATCTGCCAGCTCTAATAGAACAATTTTCAATTTTCCAATGATGAAAATGTTTCATATCTGTACTGTCCAATTTCATAGCTAATAGCCACTTGTGGCTATTATGTGCCTGAAATATGGCTAGTGCAACTGAGGAAATAATTTTTTAATTTTATTTTAATTAATTTAAATAGTCATTTACAGCTAGTGGCTATCAATTATGGTTACCATATTGGACAATGCAGGTATACTGTTGGACTTTTAAAAAAATTTATTCATATATTACCTTTAAAAGTCAACTTAGAGTATACTGTTTTCCTAACACATATTGTGAGTAGTGCCTTCACAAAATGTTTTGCTTCAGTACTGTAGCTAATAGAAAATAAATAACAATAGCTAACACTTAGATCTTGCTTACTATCTGCCAGGCACTGTTCTAAACACTTCATATATTAACTCCCTTGATCCTCAAAGCAACTTTATGAGGTAGGCACTACTGTTAATTCCAGTTTTAAAGAGGAAGTACACACAGAGTGATTAAGCCAGGAGTCAATGTCACCCAGCCAAGAAGTGGTGAGTTGGGATATTGTGCTGGGATTCAGCTCAGCCAGTTGGCTCAGTCTGTGCACATAACCACAATATTGCCTCCCATAAAAGCAATCAGCTAAATCACATCAATCCCTATAAATTTCCAGGGAGAGTGCAACCCAAATGATAAGGAAAATCCTATTCAAAAGAGAAACTATAACCAAAGTCCTTAATCACTATTTCAAATAAGACCTAAGTTCTGTATATTGATACATTTTGAATAGCATTAGTTAATAAATGGGAAAAAGATTACTTCATGGGCAATTGTATGCCAATTCTGCTTCTTTTGCTTTTCCAACGTCCTCCGTCTTTTACCTCCTTTCTGCTCTTTTTCTCACTGTCCTGCTTAAAGACAGCTCAATCCGTTCTCCCTACTTTGCATTCCAAAGTTTTTCTACACCCCTAATATCAGACACCTGGGTGTCTCTAAGTCCTCCAGACGTCTCCAAGTGTCTTTCTCAAGACTATTTAAGCATCATCCCACTAACCATTGATGTGAGAAGTATAGTGCCTGCCCCAGGATTTCTGCAGATTAACCAGAGATTTAATATTCTCCTGGGTTAGCTCCACCCTGCTCCTTGTACTGTTGGTGACCTCTGCGAACTCACTGGATATGCTGCTTATGCTACTTCAATTCACTGCCCTTCCCTTAATTTCTCACAGTGCTATGAACACAAAGATTGTGTCTGTAATAGGCTTTTATTGGAGGTTTGATATTAACTAGGTAGAGTTAAATTTTAAAATAATTAACGATGAATTCCAGAATCCAAAGAAAAAAAATCGAATATTTAATGGGGATCCCCTCACAAGAACACCCCAGTTTCTAGCCTTGGATTCCAATTTCAAAGTCAACCACTCCATTTTTCTATCACTCCCATATTGTTACGGACTAAATGTTTGTGTATCCCCCCTCCCCCCAAATTCATGTGTTTAAAATTCTAACTCCCAATATGATGGTATTTAGAAGGTGAGTTTTGGGGGAGGTGGTTAGGTGGGGTTATGAGAGTGGAGCCCCTATGATGGGATTAATGTCCTTATAGGAAGAGGAAGAGAAACCAGAGTCTGCAGGAAGAGGGCTCTCAGCAGGAACCGAACGTGCTGACATCTTGATCTTGGACTTCCCAGCCTCCCAAACTGTGAGGAATAAACATCTTTTGTTTAATCCACCCCATCTGTGGTAATTTGTTATAGCATCCTGAGATGACTAAAACACCTAAGCACCTCAGGATCAGGAGATGAGGTCCTAACTTTCTTGCGCCCCAAACTATTACCCTCCCCCTCCCCCACTTCAGGTGTGTGAAAAATGATCAAAGCTGTCATCTCGTGATTTCCTGGTCACTCTCTCCTATTCGTTGAAGACTTTAACATCTGACTTAAGGTCTTTCTCTTCATCTCAATTCCTGTCATTATTCTGATCTCTCGGTTGATTGTCTCATGCCCAATGCCTTTTTTCTCTACCCCACTTTCAGTCATCCACTCCCATGGTTACACTCTGGATATTGTCTTCACCGTAAATTACTATATCCGCCATCACAGCCCTAACACCCTGCTCTCCCACCTCAACCTCCTGTTCTTCTGGTTCACTTGTGAAAATAACCCTTCTAGCAATAACTCTTTGAGCTCATTAACATGACCGATCCACTGAACCATGTCCTGTTCATCAGCACCCTCTCATCTTCAGACAGTATAGTTTCGCATTATAATCACTCCTTTGAATACAGCCTCAACTCCAATTCCCCTCTGCCTCCTTTGCACTTGCTTGGCAAAACCCAACACTGGATTACACCCACCCTGTACCAAACAGTTACAAAGTCCAGTATGGAGAGATTTTCAGCTTTTTTCATGAGAAGCTGCAAATCTAGGCTTTTATATGAAATCACTCTGCTTTGAAATTAAAATGAAGGGTTGGCAAAAACCTGTGTTGGTCATAGAATATGTCTTAAGGCAGAGACTAGAGACTTGCAGTTTATTATCTCTGCTCTAATGGCTTTCCATTATGCTCCAAGTAACGTCAAACTCCTTAGGCTTATGTACAACGTGCTGCACAATCCAGGTCCTGGCTCTCTCTCCAAGCTTTTCCTTCCTACTCCCTACTTCATTCATTATGCCTCAAGCACAATGAGCACACTGGCCTTCTCTCTACTCTTCACACTTGCCAAGTTCATCCCTGCCACAGGGCCTTTGCACTTACTATTCCTTCTGCCTAGAAGGCTTGGATCCCCCTTCCCTTTTACTCTCCCCACCCCTCCAAGCTGGTTCCTTATCCTTTAGAGATCTCACTTTAAGTAGCACATCGACAAAGAGGTCTTTTTTGAATACTCTATCTCAAGTAGGTCCTCACCATACTCAATATAAAAATTTAAGTTGTAATGTTATGGACTGACAGGCTTTCTTTTTACTCCCTTCCTTCCCCCACTAGCCTGTAGGTCAGGGACTGTGTCTCTTTACTATGTCTGCGATTATGACTCAATAGCCAGTGCCAAGCATAGTTCCTGATACATGGGAGAGTCTTGTTAAGTATTAGCAGAATGAGAGATATCCTTTTCAATTCTCAATAAGGTAAAATCTCTACCGCTCCTCCCCGCTCCTCTGTTTTGTCCTCA